ATGTCAAATCAAAAAGTGAGGTCCAGCCAGCTGCAACTCCTGCTGGGAAACTGAAGAGCGATCTGAAGGCCAGTTCTGGCCAATCTTTTCCTCAAGGTTGTAGACCATGATGTCGGTGGTAACCGGTTGTCCAAAGTCAACCGCTGGCCTGAATACTTGGCATGGCACAAGCACCATATGCAGACATAGCCAGCGCAAGGCCATCTTCGACGCAAACTCGCTCAGCGTCGGCACCCCATGGAAGCAGTGACCGCTGTGACTGACTCGACAGTGCCTGTAAGGTGCTTCCTGGCGCACCCGAGTGCTGACCTCGGCCAATGAAAGCCTTACGAACTGCTTGAAGCCAAGAGTTCTAACGATAGAAGGACTCTTCAGGTTTCGGCTGTCTGCCTCGAGCCTTTTCAGCGCCCTGCAGCCTGCATTTGACTTCCAGGCTTGGCCCAGGCATGCCGAGAGTCCACACTGTCGGCCACTGCTTCAGATTTTGGCTCTTGGCAGGAACACAGCGTGATGAACCAGTTCGAGCACCTGCTGTCTCTTTTGCAATCTCATTGTGCTTTGGCCAGAACCTCAGACTGCGGGCCCTCGGTCTACTTCACAGAATACTGGCACCCAAGTAGACGAATAAGGCAGTAAGAATTTAGTGAGCGCAGCCATGAGCAAATTAGAGAGCATTAGAGAGCGGCCACATCGTCTGTCCAGGCAATCAGAAAATTTGAGAGGAAATAGACAAAATTAGAGAGGAAGAGGGAGTGATAGGAAGTCCAAGTGAAGAAACGCCGTTCAAAACAGAAAGGACTCAGAGACAAATCAGAAAGGAAATTGTAAGCAGAGAGAGAGAAAGTGTTGCAATTCAGCCAGCAGTTCACCTTCTACACCACCTTCTAGTCCTCCACTATGCAGAGCTACCCTCTGCAGGAGTTGACGCAGTTTCTTTGGTTGGGCAACGTTTGCATAGCTATTCTCAAATCAAGTACTACCCTGAGCAGGATTATTCCTCTGCTTAGGTTTCTGTTTACCTTGTTCCACATGTACGCTATGTCGATACGGCCGGGGGCACACCGTCTCACACGACACCACGAGACGAGACTACGACGGGGGGGGGGGGGCCCAAGGGCCGGTGATTTGTCACCATCCCCTTTTCCAAAGCCAAAGCCAATTACCTTATGGCAACAGTGAGCTAGGATGCATTGCCTTTCATCAAACACCAGCACGGTTTCAAGGGATAGTTTTTCCTTGTCGACATGAGCCAGCACGCAGGGGAATCCAATGAATCACCAGTGTAGCGCTAGGAAACTGCTAGGCCAGCGCTAGAGCCGACGTTTTTTAGAGCATCTCGATTGATCACATCTTGGAGGGATGGATGAGTTGCAGCAATTGCTATAGCGCCGTAAATGATTGAGAACGAATGGCAAAACAAGCCCCGCGCTAGAAGCATTCTGCAAATCCGACAGTTCCAACAGGAACGTGATGCGAAATCCGCGTGACCCGGGAGTGCCGCAGTAGTTCCAGGTGGCCGACCGGTCTGTGCAGGAAGAGGAAAAGGCGGGCTCGGAGTGGATGCAGGACATGTTGAGGATCACTTCAGGAGCATTCAGGTTTGTAGCAAGGTGGGGACTTCATCTAGCACAGCTCCCGCAGGTAGATGAAAGCACGCTGCTTACCTCAGCGCTGGGGGAGCTTCACACAGAGATACTGCAGGTGCCCTGGGAGGTGGTATCTGTGTTGGATTGCGTTTGGATGCTTTCAAGGGCAGATGCAATCTCTGCAGGGATTCCATGTGTGGCGCAGCATTCACTGCGACTCCGATGAGCTCGACATGCCGGAGAGATCAAAGGCCTTTGGCTGCCTCAATTGCCTCCGAGCACGTGATGAGTGTTCCTCACGAGGGCCAGCTCCCTCGTCTAGCCGGAGTGCAGTGGGATCATTTGCGAGAGCCCTGACATCTTCATGCAAGCACGTGAAGCACTCCATGTGAGCGCAGGGCAGTTGCGATCTACGGTGGCAAGGCTGACGAAGCTGCGGAAGCATCAAGGCAAGGCTGCAACAAACAAGTTAATGAGCCTGAACCGTCGCCTCCAGCGGTGCAATTTATATTGAAGAGGCGCTACTTAGGATTCGCGTTTGCAGTTTCATCCAGGCAGCTCGCAGAGATAACGGCATATCTGTGAGTAGCCCAGAAGTCAGGACAAAATGCCCGAAGCAATCTCGATGCAAGATCCCTTACTTTCGCCTAGGCTGGTATGGGGCGAAAGCGGCAACGTTCGCTTCATGCCCGAGGTGCACCAGTCTGCACCAGTTGTTTGCATCAGTTTCCATGGCGAGTTGGGTTGAACCAGGTAGTTTACTTTCTGACGGAAATGGTCCTGGGCGCTGCTCCGATGACAGCTGACGATCTGTACGGGGGTCCAAGGTAGCTAAGAGCCCAAATCTATGGATCTCAGCTCTGACCTCGCTCTGGGCTCTGCAGGCCAGCTTCTGCAGGCGGCTATCAGAGCGGAAGATTCCTGGCCAAGGTGGCTCCTCCTTAGCCAAAGTAGCAAACGGACAATGATTGATCAGCCTCTTCGTGGCTGCCAGATCATTCGGCCAATCTACACGGTTGTGTTTGAGGAGTGGTGACCTGCGGCGCATAAAGGTTGCTCGCTCAAGGTGCTGTAGAGCTTGCATGCTTGACATTTCTTAGACTGCTGAGCAGAGGGGACTAGGTAAAGATCTTGCAGGTATGACCGGGTGGACAAAAACGGTCACAAAGACAAAAAGATCCTGCGTCAGGCGCCCTTCCAATTCCCATCTGTGTTACCAGGAATGTCAGCAGACTTGAGTGGAGCTAGTCCGGCCAGGGATATGAGGCGTTCTTGCCTGCAGATGTTGCTAACTATGATGCATGAAGCCCAGCCGTATTGACGACCATGCGGAATGAATCCCAAGACTGCTGGCTGAGGACTGGAATGAGCTCTTTTGTGATCCTAAAAGGCTTTACGATGCGATGGTTTTGGAGGACACGGAACTGTAGGCGGATGACCGACAGGAAGATCCTCCTGTCCTTGACCTACGTGTGCCTGCATGCGACATTGTCTAAGATACTTAGCTTGTACAAGATTCGGAGGCGAGCGACGCATTGAGAGACTACCGCAAATCTGGACAGGACGGCAACCCCTTCTTCGACTTGACGCATGAGGAGCGTTTTGCACATCTGCACAGGGTTGCCGGCGGCCCAGAGTGGATTTTGGAATGGCATTCATGCCGCGAGCAGTCTATCGTAGCCTGAGATGTGAGACCGGCTGACCTGTGCAAGGCCTGGGACTCAACCCTGAACCGCTACGAGGTCAAGACCCATCGCGAGGCCGAAAAGCATGTCACGGCTGTTTTGGCTTGTAAGAAACTCATCTTGGTATGCTACTTCAAGGTCACTCAGGAAGGTTTCTCTTTTTTGGTCTGTCACTTCTGTTTCGCAAGCACCTTGGTCCCCAAAAACAACCAGCACAGTGCAAGGAGTGCAGAGAATACCTGTTGCTGTTCGATGCTGTTCGTGTCTTTTGCCCGGATGCAACCACGGAGGTGCACTCGCTCTGGGGATTCCTCGCATCTACGCACAGAGTGTGGCTTGTGAGTCTTTGGCATGATTGACTCGAGTTGGCCTGTTCTCTGAACATACTTCTGATTTCATGGCCAGGCACATGCTGCTGTTTGCGTTTGGTCTGACCCTCACGCCTGCATCTCAGAGCTCCAAACAGGGCGTAGATGTGCTTCTAGATATGTGACTCAAAGGATATCGGACCCAGAACATATTGACTTCGGCCACGCTCTGCTGGCGTCATTGCCATGGCCAGTTCGATTATCTTTGTCTCCGGATGCGATCCAGTCTGATACGATGTGATACGGCCAGATAAGCTTGGAAGCTTGGCCAGGTTGCGCTGTTGGGGAACAGCTTCCCAGTGCGGCTTGCCGCTGTGGGCCTTATCGTGCAATGAACTTGGAGTCTTCCTTGCTTTGGGAAGATTCGCGTGATCTATGTCAATGCTGTACTGCTGAGGCCTTTGCATGCCATTCTTTGGGGCTTTGCTCGGTATGAGACAACTGCCAGAGCTGTCTGCAAAAGGCACGGTGACCAAGTAGAGCGCGCCATGCGGCACTCAGTAAACCTGCCAGGATACACGGACCAACCTGCTGGCTGGCCGGCACCCAGCCAAGCTTTGCTGCACTATGTTTGATGGCCACAGGTGACGGCTACGGAGCGTGTACCAAGGTCTTGGTCGCGCCCTTCTTTGGGGTTCGCGGGGCCCCTATGCGCCATGATGACTCAGAAGTAGAGACAAGCAAATTCTCAAAACAGGCTGTTGTAAACACCGATTGAATTTCTGCGCCCTGTCTGTCCGGCTGGCCTCGCGATGAATCATGCAGAGCTTTGATACTTGAGCACAAGCTGTTCCTGACTTCAAACACCAAAACGCAAAGGTATACCTGCGTTGCTGAGCAGACTTCAGGCCCATTGCTACCTACACGGCTTTGCGCTACGTGGAGCTGCAGGACTGTCAAAGTCATGTTTGATTAACATGCGGCAAATGCAAGTAGACGCTGATGTGCAGTTCTCGCGAGGGTGTGAAGATGTCAGAAAGCACAGACCTGCAGAAGGGGATGGTGCCGGCCCAAATTCTGCTGAGTGCCGGTACAGTACGGTCTGCTTGCAGTGCAGGTGCTCGCGGCACACGCGCTTCTTTCTGTCTCGGCCTCTGTCTTGACCTGCGTAGCTTCTGTTAACGAAATTTAACGGCCTGAGGTGCTCGGTCTAGTGGCACATCTTTTCTTCCCAGATCGGCAGGCGACCCGGTCTATGGGTAGCCTCCTGAGCCTGTCAAGCAAGATTCAAGATCTGCCCTATCTTCAGCATGTCATGGCTCAAGTCACAACACTAAGGAACCTGCAAGAACATGCATAGCTGCATGGCTAGTTGTACGCACATTTGCTCAGTCATGAAGATGGAGGCTTAAAAGCCAGTGATGCAATTGCGTCACCACATAGAACTGGGCAGTGCTGCCAACCTGATGACTGTGTCACATTTGGCAGGCTGGCAGAAGCCCAGACTTCGTCACGGATCTTTTGCCGTCGTGGTCAATCCTGAAGAGACAGTTCTAGGTTCAATGCAAAAGGAACTGAAGGATGAAGGAATCGACATCAAGGACGCTGAGAGAGCAGCGCAGGATGCGGAGAAAGCTGAGCTGAAAGAGCTCAACCTCAAGGAGCTGCAGGAGCTGAAGCAAGAGCCGCAAGATCCGAATCGCCACGAGTTCGTGGTTCCAAGGATACCGAAGAAAACCACAGCACTGAAGGATGAAGAGCCCAGGGCTGCAGAGAGATCTGAGGAAAACCCTCCAAATGGGCCACCAGCTCCACTGCCAGGCCCACTTCCAGGCCCTCCACTGGACCTAGAGGCACCTGAGCCCTATGACGAAGGCTATGAAGAAGGCTATGAAGAAGTGCCTCTTCTAGACCAGGACTTGGAGAAAGCAGACATAAGATACGACTCCAAGGTGGATCCGCAGCTCAATCGCATAGCCGACCAGGTCAATGCCAAGATAGATATGGTGGAGGAGAGACTGCTTGGCAATCGCCTCCAAAACTTGGTGGTTCCCTTTCCGGCTTCCGATGCATCTCGTGATGCCAGCAGTGTCCATGTCTTCCTTGGCAATCCTTCCACTACAACTCCAGATGTTGGAACGCCACTCGACGAAGTTAACCAGCTGCTGCAGAAAGCTGACAGCATTGAGAAGGGGCTGGTTGCGACCTCCAACCTTCAGATGCAAGGCGTCGCTCCGATAGGACTTTGCGCAGGCCTTCTAATGGCTGGTCACAGTTCGTTCATATATCGGTCACAGATGAGAATCATCAGAACTGCTGGCTTCCTTTGAGCCAGCCGGCGGAAAAGGAGCGGGGCACGCAGCGCGCTGCTGCCTTTGCCTGAGCTCTTGGGCTTCAATGCAAGCCCGCCCAAAGGGTTGTGCATGGCTGGCAGGAAAAGGGAGATTTTCAAACCATGGGCCTTCATGTATCCATGGTGCTTAGTATCATGGTGCCTTCTGGGTACCATCCGAGGACGTTTGACAGGCTCTTCCCCCAGACGCCAGGGCATCCATGTGGATGCCTGAGATTTTGACGGCTGCCGTGACACTGACATACGGAATCTTGCCGTAGCATTATGGAGGGCCTGTCCAACCATTGTTCTCGTTTGGATCGTGGGCTCAAGTGGATTCTAAACTCTGAAGCAGACCTGTAATCCACCATGGCAGAGAAGCAATGTTTGGAAGCTCTCAGCTGGCCACTTCATTTCCAAAGGTACTGCAATCGATACGTGTTGTCCAATTAAAATGCTTCCCATTCCCGAAGAACTTGCAAGCAACACGTGCTCCAGTCTGTGACGTCGACGTTTGTTAGTTGCATCACTGATCGTGATTATTGCTTGTTGAAGCAGACAGGCCTTCGTATGAATCGATTGACCAAGCTTTGAGGCCTGCTTGTTGTGCGCTACGCTTTCTGGTTCTTCGCCCGGGCCTTGAACTTGAGGAGCCAAGGATTGCAGCAATTGGCATGACCTGTTAGGTGTTTGCAACCAAGTTTCTGGTGAGCCATCCGCTCGGAGAGGTGATAGCACGAAGTTTAGAGGCATGGAGCATGTTTCAAGGCTTTTCGATCTTCGCCTCTGTTTACCACTTAATGTCCCAAGCTCGGAATCACGTGCGGTCGTTCCATAAATCCAGTAGCCTTACCATAGCCATTATCTGCATGTAACTCAGTGGCTGAAGATCATCAAGGTAACTCCGTCCATGTCATTCTCAGGCACAGGGACTTGCAAATCATCATGCTGGGCCAGCAGAGTGTCACGGAGATGAGATATTCATGGAGCAGCGGCGTGCTCAGGCAAGACTGTGTCAACTAGGATGGCAGTCTCAAAGTCTGGCAGGTGTGGATTGGGGGAAGGATGTGCTGGAGTGGGCCTTGTTGTGCCCTGGCCGATGATGCCCGTAAGGACTCACAACGAGCATTCTAGGAATGCTTGCCCAACTAAGGTGGTTCACGACAGGCTTTCTGTTCTGCGCAGACACAGGGTGGGCATGTTTGGCTGAACATGAGTGGGGCCGCCGTCTTGTGTGGAAAAGGATGTGGTTCACGCTTGGCTGCACTTTCCTCGGCGTGGGCACCTACTTTGTCCAACGTTCGCTGGGCGCCCGATGAGAAGCTGTACCGCTGACTAAGTTGCTATGGTTAGACATTAGTAGCAGCTACTAGCAAGTCAAGATAGACAAGTCTTTGCCAAAAGCTTCGAGGTGCGAAGTTGGTGCCTTCTGCATGGAGGAGATATGATCCTTCTAGCTTGAACCTGCAGCCTGACTTGTAGATTCCTGCGCACTCCTCGGCAGGGCAGATTCCACCAAATGACGCCAATGACGCCAAGTCATAGAGCCACTAAGGGCCTGTCTGCTTTGCTCCAGGACGCTGTGGCCAAAATTCCTGCAAGGATGTCTGAGAAGGTGGGGCGACCCAGCTTAGGCATACAGATCGGATGCCTTGGGGCTTCTTATCCTGAGGTGTTCTTCTTTAACTTTGACAAGAACCGCGTGAAGCTTGCACGAGCACGGCCCACAAAACAAGCAGCACCTGAAGCAAATGGAGCTCGTGAGAGCTGAGGGCCAGGAGATGGCACGCGAGTTCCCGTTTGTCTGGGACCGCATCCTGGAGTGAGGGCCCCACTCGTGTTCAATTGAAGAGGTATAGTATAGACTAGCAGGAAGCACCTGCAAAAAAACCTTGATGGGCTCTGCTTGAACACTTGGGACAGCCATGCAAGATGCATTGTCATCTCTTGTTACCTCGAATGTTGCCAAGCTTGGAAGGTACATGAGATACGAAGACAAAGTCGGAGATCAATTCATGAAAGATCAGGCGCGAAACGTGGAGTGTGTTGAAGTCACCTCCCACCAAAACAGATTCAGTCAAACGACAACGTTGCTTGCAGTCCTTCATGACAAAGTCGAACCGCGGTATGGAATGGAAAAGCCTCCGCGAGCCGGTACGGCCGAACCTGCTCTGGCCTCAGTCCTCCATTTTTCAGCAGTTTTCATGATTTTTCATCATTCCATAATATGTCCGTGTACCTTTCGGAAATCTATGAAAACTGGTGAAAACAAGAAAGATATTAGAAAAAATGAAAACTAATCCTGACCGACTCTGACGAAATCTAGGATGGAAATTGATGAAACACTGTAAAATTGATGAAAGTGATGAAGCATGCTGAAGCATGGTGAATGAATTATGATCAAACGTGGTGAAAGAATCAAAACGTGTGAAAAAAATGATGAGTTGTTGAAAACTATGAACATGATGAAGCACGATCGAAGCTACTGAGAAGTGACAAAGGTCAGGGAATGTGATGAAAATGATGAGAAAATGTGAGAAGTATGACAACTGATAAAATGATGAAAACGATTGGGAAGTATGATGAACAAAATGGTCAACATGATGAACACGCGAAAATCATAAAACCATTAAAGCTCATGAAGCATGATGGAAATTAAATTATGCAAAATAATGCAGAATAATGGAGTTGATGAGATGTTGTTCGTTCTGTTGTCGTTCTGTATTGATATCAAAGCTGCGCCTAAGACTCATGTTCTAATATTCGTCCAGGTTTTGCAAATGGGGGGATGCGCCTCTCCTTCCCCCCACAGGCACACACGCCTCTGTCATCATACTGCAGTGCTTTTTTCACAATTGGTCCTCGTTATGGATCGCTGGTCGACATGTTTCACCATGTTTGGTGAAATTGTACTATTTCTCCTCGTATTCCATAACTTTTCAGTATTTGCGTCTTTTGCATATTTCTGATGGTTCTGGTTATCGGAATTTTGGACACTTCCTGTGATGACATTTAATCATTTATCATCATGTGCGCTTTTTGCCACAGATTTCATGATTTTTCTGTTTCCATCACATTTCATAGCGTTTCATAATTGTCTCCAATTTCATCATTTTCATGATATTTCAGAATGGTCCATAATTCTTCATTGCAGCTTTTCTTATCTCATTGAGTTTGTTTAGTTTTCATCATTTTTGTAGTTTTCCATGATTTCCAGTTTTTTGCGCATTTCATCATATTCGTCATGTTTCATCATGTCCCATCATTTTTCGTCATGTTGCATCTTCTTCCAGCTCTTTCATACTTGCAACATGTGTTCATGATGTTCTCACAATTTTCATCATTCTAAGTCATTGCTAATCATGTTTCGTAATTTTCCAGCACATGCATCATTTTTGGTTTTCCATCATGTCCCATCATCTTCTGGCATTCTTCATCATTTTAATCATATCATTCATGCTTTCCATCCTCTGTCAGATTCACCGTGACATCGAGCTTGCGCGCGGAGCGTCCTTGTATTGTGCTTCGGAATGCAGCTCTCGCGCTGGGCATCCTCTCAAGATAATCTTGACAGCTTACATTGGTTGATACGTGACATATTCCTTGAAGCTTAGGGCGCCAGGGGCGGAAGATGAGCTCAAGGGCAAGGTCCTAGCCCTATCAGTTGGCCAAAAGACTGTCTGACAAAATGATGCTAAGTCAATTTCGCTGAGGTGCCGGGAATCTTTCGAGAACAGTCCCTCATTCAGCGAGCCTGCCAAGCCTTTGCAGCCGCCTCATCCGTGCAACGTTGTGCAGCGTGCTGCGCTCCACTGCGCTTCCATGCTGTCATCCATGTTCATTTGGGCCAGGTTCGCAACACGCAGTGGCCAACGAACGCAGAAGTTCAGTGGTCTTGTGGCTGTGAATGTAAGAAATGTGGGCATTGACGAACACCCGTATGGACACTCTGATCAAGTTGGCCAAGGCGACTGCTAGCATTGTCTCGTGGGCTCGGGCTGCCTATACCAAAGCCTTTTCGGGCACCGTACATCCCCGGCATCACAGTGCGCTCTTTAGTTGAAGGTTATGAGATTGAGTTTGGCCGCCTTCCGCGTAAAGTGTGCGGGACCGGCAGGTCTTGATCCCTCACTATGGGGAGACCATTCTGGAGCAGAAGGCAGCTTATGTCAAGCCGCTGCTGTTGTGGCGCCATCTTGCGATGCTGTGAAGGCCTTGTGATGGTGACAGAGTCATACATCTCATGCCAGGCTTCGCTGTACGATGGACGCACCGATGACCCTGACACTGCGCGCATGGAAAGCCCTTGTGGCCATCAATAATCATACTTGTCATACGCAGGTACCACTCATGGACTGGCTGAAGGCTCGATATGAGGTCTGGTGCGGATTCTGTGACTTTTTATGCCTATCTGGCAGTCTTGATACATGACAGGACGAATGGGGGAACTTCGATGCTCGCATGCAGGCTCCTACTTGTACGTAGGGGAAGTAGCTGTCCTGGAGACTCGCAGCTTGTGCATCTAGGTCAGGCATACTGTGCAACTGCCACACGGAGCCAATTGGGATGACGCCTGTCAGCATTAAGCAAGCTGCTCTACATCACAGAAAATGCCCGTCCATCCTTGTCTGTGGCTGCACTTCCCTAGGAATATGATGATCTGCAATGGGAGAAGATCGGTGGATGGTCGTCCATGCGCTTGCAGACCTTATGGCGCACAGTGGCAGGCATGATGTTGTATCATCCTGCCCTTTGGTGCCACTACGAGATCCAGCGTCTGGGCAACTTCCCAGGCGAAGAGAAGCCTCTGCTGGCTGACAGGTGGAGACCCAACGACTGCTTCTCATGTATTGTTTCGATGCAGCAGTATGCCGTCTTCGAGCCAGTCAGATATCAGCAGACCGACCAGATGTTTAAGAAATTCCCAAGCAGCTTGAAAGTTGCCTTCATTGATCAGAGCGACAAGAATGTCCATGCAGAAGTTGATAGGGTGCATCCGAGACAGCACCGACGCTATTTTAGCTGTTTGATCGACGGGGCGTGTCAAGATATCGGTGGCGGCAAAAGAAAGGCCAAATTTCAGGTTGAGTTGCCAGGATACCCCATTTTGGGTGATGGCAAGAGTGACAACCAGAACCATGCCATCATTTTTACGCGAGGTATCTTTGGCCAGTGTATTGACGCCAATCAAGGAGCTTACTTCGAGCAGATGCTGATGCTTCCATGCGTCCTTGGGGAGTTCCGCACTGCAAAGCGTGGAGACGATGCTGCGAAGCAAATCATTGGCCTGCCCGAGCACATCACAAGCGACATCGGGTCCGTCGGCGACTTTGCGGCAGGATCCGAGGTTGCCTTCGGTACCATTCTGCAGCGCACATACGCAGTTCTCGGCGCGCGAATGCATTATGGGCATCCTGACATCATGAACAAGCAGTTCATGATGCAACAAGGCGGTGTTTCCAAAGCCACAAAGACCATCAACCTTTCAGAGGACATTTTTGCTGGCATGGACTTCACGCTTCGTGGCCAAGGACGCTCCATCAAGCATTGTGAGTACTTCCATGTGGCGAAGGGACGAGATCTGGGTTTCAACACAGTGCTGGGCTTCTTCTCAAAACTCTCTTCGGGAGCGGGCGAGCAGATTCTCACAAGGTCGGGGGCCCGGCCGGCTCGGTGGTCAACTTTTTGTAGTTGGTTGCACAGCTTTGGCCAGATTCTGGCGAATTGACACGCTTTCTTGATGAGCCTGGAAGTATCATGATGGTGATATGTTCACCTTGAATAACGTACGAGAGCGTTTGTGGCATCGGGCAGATTCGCACCTTCAGAGCCGAGGCAGATGTTTCGTTTGGGGCAGTTGTTGCATCTTCCGGAAGCCTTGACCTTCTACTACGCCCACGTTGGGTACTACATCACGCAGGGTTTGGTATCTGCATCTATGCCCATTCTTGCCGGGGCCCTTTGCTCTTTTGGATTCTGTGCTTGTCTGTGTTCGTGCTTGCATGGCCATCAATCAACTGTATCTTGCAAGTCCTGTTTATTGGTTTTGTTTTCCTTGTCACCGTTTCGACTGCGCATGTTCTGCGTGCCCTACGCTGTTCCAAGGTGTTCGCATGGATGGTGTGCGCCCAAGTCATGGCTTGCTCATGGAGATCAATGCTTGCATATCACTTGGTAGGATACACAGCACAGCAGCCAGCTACACTACCACGACGGCCCAGGTGGTACTTGCTGCTGACTGTCTCTGTCTCAGTATGCACTACGCCTTTGCGACTGTTCTGCAGTGGCGCTGTTAGCGCCTGCTTCCAGGCGAAGAAACATTCCAGGTCTTTGAGAACTACTGCCGCCCAGCTGCTTGAGTTTGGGGGAAGATTAACATGGTGGCATGAGTCTGTGCCGTGTGGCCCCGAAGAGGACGAAGAGACAGTTGATACCTTCACGTGGAAAGCCTAGGTCCCCAAATGCCAGCGGCTCAGGCCGTGGGTGCTTGTGAAGACCCGTTTTGTGTCAATTGTAGCGTCTGGCTAGAGTGCAGTAGGTGTAGCGTACCGTCCGCATGGTGCTCATGAGCGGAAGAGTTTGAGACAATCGTGCTGGGAGAAGCACTCATCTTGCATAGAAGGGTCGCATCACTCAGCCCAGAAGCCGCGTCTTAACGCCCTTCGTCGCTTTGCCCACCACAGATTCGTTTGACTCAGCACGACCTCTTGCTTCATCAAGAAGTTTCACATCTCCCAAATCTTCGAGAACTTGAACATTTCTTAGCAAATGCTGGGAGGATTTCCCTTCCTGCATGAGGCTGCCATCAAACAACAACGTGTCACTTGTCTGTTTTTTGTGTTTGAGACGGGAGTTGTTTGTCTGTCTTTGTTTGTGCTTGAGGCCGATCCTGCAACTTGAGTCATACAGACTGAGCAAGGTCGGTAGGATCAGAGTCTTTTTTGCTCATGCCGCAGGCCATGGCCAACCTTCTCTCAGTTTGGTACTCCTGGGTGGCAGACTCAGCCTGAATTGCAACGCTGCGCTGTCCACAATCATCATCAGCTGGGAGCCCCTGATATAGTGAAGGCACCCACTCACAACTAAGATCCGACTCAATCTGACACCAGGCTAGGGAGCGTGTGCGTAAGGGATGTGGACTGGCGTTTCATTGAACAGACTGGTGCTCGTAGGACTATTTAGTGGGCTCATGCTTGTGCCCGAGACGTTGAGCTCAGGTGATTTTCTTGTTCTTGGTGGCTACTTCAATGCCCCTGTTTGCGGAGTGCTGGATGGAGAGGATTGTCTGACGGGGAGCGTCGACACGAGCAAAAGACATGCGTCGTGCAGCAAGGAAGGAATGGAGGGATTGACGCATGTGCAGATGAATGGAAGTTGGTTGTCTGCTGGCCAGATGCTATCCGCTAAGCATGTTCAGCTTTTCTACTGAAGATTGGCATGAATTTGCATGACCATATGCCTGCTGACAGGAGCTTTTTGCATGCAGTCTGGCGATTGGGCAAGCAGTGCTCTGCCCAGTGTTGATGACGAGGATGCCCGCACCGAATTTGGTGGTGCAAGGTACCTTACCCTGTCGTTCTTGATGTTCGTGTTCCAAGCAAAAATCATTGGCAGCTACGTGTGGCGCTCGTCCGAACGAATTAGCTGTCAATCAGTTTGCATGAGAGCGACAGGAAATGCTGCACCTCAGCCAGTCGTCTGTGGGCGATTCAGTGCTTACCTAGTAAAACGAAGGAGTACCCCAAAATGAAGGGTCTGCTGTTTTAGATTTGAACTTTCACATGTTGCCGATAGTTCGAGGAGAAGCAGCCGACACTTGGAAGGATGGTTTCTTGGACACTGGTGCTTTGAGTTAGACCATAATGTCACAAATTGAGAAGCCCCAAAGAAAATGACAGCGGCCAGCCCAACACATTACCTTGGCAGTGAGCGAGTGGATTTGACTGCCCAGGTAGTCAACGAGTTGCGGTACGGAGGCCTCGCAGCAAAGACTGCGCATGATCATGGTCGTCTCCATCATCTTACTTGAGCAGGTGCCCAATACGTCGCTACTGGCCGCGGCCTGCCTACCTACCGCCGGCCTTTCATCGGCGAGCTTGCGCGCCCACCTGGTGTCTTTACACAAGCGAGCTGATTCTGTGTTATGGCCTGGGCGTGTGCAGGACCTCGAAGGAAAGCTGAAAAAGGCCCGCGTCATGTTCGCAGAACTCCGGCTGCTTCTTGGTGGCGTGAGGTTGGCGGGCTATACCTTGATTACGCAATGCTTGCTGCCTCAGACTTCCGCCAGAACCCAGAGGCATCAACTTGCTATGGAACTACGATGTGAGGTACACTTACTACGACGGGATGCGTCTCCTTGCAGCCTGCATTGTCGTGCGGTACTGGCCTGCTTGACTACAATGTATGGCTATGATGCTTCAGTCAACGGACACGCTCAAGCAGAAACTGGCTGCCAAATGAGTCGTGCTGGCCTGAAGACAAGCGACAACTAGCAATGGCCAGATTCCATGACTCAAGCTTGGAGTTGCGGTTTGCCTCTGTCTGTAACGGTTCCAAAGCTGCTGCCCGCTGTATGCGAGCCTAACCAGAAAGAAAGGTTCATCACACCCCAAAGCCGCGCACATGATCCCAGCATCAGCATGAGAACGAGCTAGCAAGTAGCAGTTGGCCAGCGGCTCGCCTCCTCTTCACAAACATGTAGCTGCAATGTAGCTCCTTGATTCCAAAGCTACTGAACGGCTATGCTTCTTCCAACAGGCAGCTTCCTGCGAATTGAAATGCGTGCTTTGACGGACCTGTTGGCATTGGACCCCTCCTGAGTACATGCAAAAGCATGGATGGTTTGGGCAGTGTCCCGCATGCTTAAGAGCATCTGACAGATGAACGTGCTGCAGCATTGTGCTTCAAGTTCAGCAGGTTCATTTTTGTTTGCTGTCTCTGCCATGGCCTTGTTACATCCTGCCATTCGTGCAGCTTTGACAGCGGAAGCATCTGCTGAGCTGGAGTCGCTGGGGATTGACTCTGTGGCTGACTTGGCCGCTCGTTGGACCATTGCCACTGACGTTTTCGATGCTTCCGCTGAGCTTGGGCTTGTCGAATCTTTAACTAGAGCCTGGCAGACGGCACGTAGGCTTGAGGGAATTCCAATCTACCTGCACTGCCGGTGCGGACTACTGCTGCTCAGCCAACTGTGCTTGTTGGTACACGGCCTAGGGCAAGGTGTGTGCCTCCAGCCTCTTTTTTGCAGAAGCCTTTTCCGAGTGATTTCGAGGCAGCGAAGCTTACGTGCATTGCAGAGACACAGGAGACGATCGCATTACTGTTTGGACATGATGTTCCAGGTGGCTACACGATCCGCTGGTTCCTCGAATGCGCGCTTTGGGGCTGAGCTTGCGCAACTCCCTCAGAAGAGCAGGTCTTCTTTTGAAAGGCCTTGCAGCCAGTGCCTACCGAAGCCGTGCATTCGCACCGGCGTGCCTTTAAGAGATGGACGGGCTTCCATCGCTTGCATAGCCCCAGCTACAGCCCGTACTGGCAACCTACGGCCATGTTAGCCAAGGTGGGCCTACTGCCGCAAAAGGTATCTTCTCTAGCTTGAAGTGGTGGTGTGAACCCATAGGTGTGCCGTTGCCTGTTACGGACGGCTTTGTTACGCACTGGAGTGTTGCCGACCAAGCGCATTGCGCTGGGTCTAGTTAAGCATGCCTTAAGACTTAAGAGTACCCCGGCCGCCTCGACGTTGTTGGCACTCGGGGTTTGCCTTAGGTTTGCTCACCTGCAGCGTTCCCACTCCCTGTCCATCCAGGGTGACCTGTTTTGCGGCATCTGCGCAAAGGGCAAGCGTCGAGTTGGCAAGGTTAGGCCGCTTTCCCTTGGTCCGTGCCAGCTAGGATAGGTTCCTTTGATCTAGGGGATAGGATCCTTACTGACTGGCGGGAAATGCAGGAGCGAGACTTCGGGCTTTCCTTCATCGTTCCTAATTTAGTGCTTGGCTGATCCTCTTTCTTTCTGCAGCCACGCCACGCCTGCTGAAGAAGATGTCCACTGGCAAGTTTGCAGCCATGTTGCAAGTGCTCTTCTCTGGTTGTGGCTTGGAAGATTTTGACAAGGCTTGCCAGACGTGTTGAGCACGTGCAACCTTGGCAGTGAGGGGCGCCGCGGAGGCTTAGCAAGTTTCTGGATCCGGTCGGCGTTGCAACGTCGCGCTGGGCCGTGTTGGGGTTCTGCGGCTTTCTCCTGTGCGGCGTTGCAGCATGGTGCTGGGCCCACAGATGCTCATTGACTCATTGCTGTTTGTGCTCGCCGCGCCATGCCGTGCTGTTTTTTGCGTATGAGGGGCTTATGGACTTGACAGCGCTAGGCTTGGGGATTGCGCATTGCCTGCGTGACCTCGCGGTTGCCCTGAGGATTGGTCCTGACCCACATTCTTGTACCTACAAGCCTGTCCGTGGTAAAGCCATGGCTTCCCGGCAGGAGCTTGCAGATGTGGCTCAGGCAGCTGAGGCATTGTGTGTCCTTCTGTCGTTGCCGGCGGCTGCTGTTGCCGTAGCCTGGGAAGCATTGCGTGACCTGGTAAAGCTTCGGCGACTCGTGCATTGAGGATCGGCTGCTGATCCTCTTCCGCGACTACAATTTGGAGCTCCATCGCGGGTGCCCAGGCGATTTCGTGGCCAGGAGCCTTGGGCGGCTATTGTAGACTTTGCGCCAATGCGGCTGAGTGCGGTCACTTTTGTGGGCGTTGGCTCTTCATGTTGCGCAAGGGCTGCCACGTTGAACATGAGTGCACTGAGTGCCATCGCTAATCCACCATTTTGCGCTTAACTGGAAAAGACGACACATGTGCTTACCTGATGCCTGTGGGGCTGTGCTTGCCTGCAGCATTGCGCCTACATGCATTTATCCTGTCGGTTGCTCAAGTGCACTGCCTGGGCTAGGTTAGTGTTCAGTTTTGTGCTGGAGGTTTAGGACCTGAAGCCATGTCTGGCCCTGCTTTGGACCTTCTTAAGCAGTGCTTCGCTGATGCCAGGGTTCTGCAGGAGCTCACAGTCTGCAGTCTGTCGACGGCTTCGTCAACTTAAGCTGGCCATGAGACAGAGTTGGCTACAGTTCTGGTTGCCAAAGGCAGTGGCCCTTTGCCGTGTCAGAGCGGCCTGAAAAGCAGCTAGAGCCCAGGTTTTGAAAGCAGAACTTGAGAAGTGTCAAGGTGTCTGTCCGATGGAGCTCTCAAGACTTTCTGCTGCAACCGTCGAAGAAGAAGTACTCTTTGGATGTCACGGTCCATTTACTACCATCTGGTTCCTTGCTGGGGCGCCTGTGCCGTGAGCACATTCGCGGAACTCCAACTTTGATTCCTGTCGTCAAGGTTAGAAGTTTGGCGTTTTGCAGTAAGGCCCACAACTAGGAGACGCGCATCAACTTGTCAGGCCAGGTCTCCATCGAGGTGGATCGCGAGTTCGGTGACATGCTAGCTAGAAATGTTTTTGCCTACTACCAAGGACTATGCTGGCAACGCCCTCGAATGCACATTAGACCAGAACGCTTCCGTTGAATGGACGCGGGCCCGCGACGAGGCTACCAGAGCGAGAGCCATAGAGTTCCAACGTGAGGGCTGGCCTCAGGGAGGCTTATTGGCAGTGATCCCTGTTCTTCCTGAAGTTCCTTGCAGAGTTCATGCGACCAAGATGCATTCAGCTGACTCGCCGAGTCAAGCCTTTGAAGGCCTTATGTACGGACGCTAGTTGGGAACCTCATTCCATAGCTGCACCTGGCCTTGGCGCTGTTTTACTAGGGGAGTTATGTCGGCCTGCCATAGGTCTGGCGGCCGTAGTGCCTGGGGAGGTTCTTGCGAATTTCTTACCTAGGAAGACACAAATTGCTCCGCTTGAGGCCTTGGCGTGTCTGCAAGCCTTCGACCACCTTGCTTCTGAACTCGCAGGACATGACGTCCTTGTGTTCATCGATAACACATCGGCGTGCAATGCCGTAGTCAAAGGAGGGAGTACTGCCAGTGATATCTTTTTCTTGGCATGTACGGCGCACGTACTCTGGAACTTCCTGCAGTGCCGAGTGTACGTGGAATATATACCGTCTGAAGCGAACCCCTCCGACGGTGTGAGCAGAGACGGAGCTATGGATCAGTGGACGCCCAGTCCTTATTCACTGCCTCATGTGCCCCCTGGAACCATCTCAGTTCTCATGGTCTGGTAGATGCATCGAGGTACCTGTTGCGTTCGGGGAAATGCCCAGGCTGTTGCCTTGGGTGTTCGACCTCCTGAGGGTCGGATACTCGGGGCCTCTGTCCGGTTTCCACCGTAAGAGGACCCTCGACGATGCTAGATCACGAGTTTGAGATGGAAAAGAGAGCGTGCATCGTTCATGACATCTGCAGGCATGGCAGGATGTTTTTGAGTACATGCAAAAGCATAGACGGTTGGGTAGGGGATTGCATGCTTAAGAGTATCTGACAGATGAACAGGCTGCAGCATTGTGCATCGAGTTCAGCACGTTCACCTCTGCTTACCTGCCCACCCTCCCTAGGGGGTTCCTAAAAGGAGGGTAAGTGAGTGCGCTTCACGAAATTTAGGTTTTTGCTTGTGTGTGGCTGTGTTTGTTCGACTTTTTGAGGGTCAGATATTCAAGGCATCTGTCCAATCTCCAAAGAAAGAGTTCCCTCGACGATGCTAGATCATGAGTTTGAGATGGAAAAACAGCGTGTGTCGTGATGTTCTTTCATGAAAGTGCGCGTGGATGAGCACGGGAGATGAATGAGCATGAGAGAGTTGCGCTTGCCAAGTCAATATCAGGACCGGTCACCAGATTTCTATCAACGTGGTATTGGTATTGTGCAATGTCCGCTTCTGTTCATAGAGCCTGAAAACAGCTGCCAGGTTGCTGCTGGGCGGCGTCTCGGATGCGGGCGGCCAAGCCAGTAACTTGGGATTCACTTGGCTTGCCATCGGGACCGCAGAGCCGTCTGCTTTGAGATTTCGAAACATTTCGAAACAGTTTTTGGGCAACGCCACGCAGGATCACTATTGCGTCATGGCTCTATGGGCCATTCGTCTTCAACCCGTGCAACCTCCAGCTTGCTATTTTGAATTGGCATGGATTCAGAAAATAGCCAATCCCACGACGATTGTTGCAGGTACCAATTTGATTTGGATGAGGTGCGGAGTGATCTGAGGCCGGCACTCAAGGACAAAAGTCTGACTGCTTTTCGCGTGCTCCTGCTCTGCGCAGGGCCTGGGTCGGCTTCTTCCTGGGAGATCAAGGTGTTTACTACAATTCGTTACACGCATCTTGCTGGTCTTCCGGTGGCTCAGAACCTGAAAGTGCGCTTGAGGCAAACTGTGGGTTGAGAACTATCAAAAGTCCAGGGCCTAGCAAGGAAGGCCCCCTTCAAGATGCAGATGTTTTGGAGTGCCTAAGGACGCAGCTCAAGCCGCTGAAAGGTTTCAGAGAGTCGGCTTGACTCCCGTCAAAGTCTCTAAGCAAACTTTTGCTGCAAGTTGAACCTGGTCAAGGTCATTGGCGCCAACTTCCTGATCTCCATTTTCTGCCTAGCCGTATGGCACGTGTCTTAAACGCAAGCTGCATCGAAGAAACATGAGACGTGCAGCAAGTAGCTGTGAGGGATGACTGGTGATGTCTCGTGCACCTTGCAGTGTGTGCATAGTGGCAACACGATCGAGGTTTTCCATCCTCACTCACAAGGTTCAGCTTCTCGAAGTCATTTACTCTGCGTGCCTCGCCAAAAATTTGCGTGGGTGCCATAGGCTAGCCTAGAATGCCTCAGGTACACTCGCTACAGCACCCTTTCCATCCTCACTCTGCTTCCGCCCGTGGGCTCTATCTTCAGCCTTTGAAGTTGGTATTTTGTGTCACGGCCTTCAGCCCATGTTTCAACAAGCTTCAGAGGTTTGTCCTTGCTCTACTGCCTGGTGGTCAGCGTATTGGAGAGCGTCCTGAGCTTGCCGAGGCCGAGACTCTTATCATCTGCTGTCATCTAATTTTTGCTCTGCTTGCGTCCCCTTACAGGGCAGTAGTTCCACCGGCTGCGCCTCGAAAGCCCAGGCCCCAGCACGTACATCAACGACGACAGCGCTAGAAATTTGGAGAGGGTGACTGGATAAAGATGCAAAAGCAGCTCAGGACGCGCGCCATTGATCTCGAGGCATAGCAAGTGCTCTTTTCGCGCTTTGAATCAAAGATTGTTTCCAGGGAGGCAGCTCCTCAGAGTCCGAGAGTGAGGCTGAGGCGGGTGCCTGAAGCCCTGCAGCACCTGCTTCAGGCATCCTGCACCACTTGGACCTTGGAGTTGGATTCGTGAGCTTCGTCAGGCACCAGCTCCAATGGGCCATGCTACGTTGTCCGACACTTACTTCTTTGAGCTTGGCGAGTCTGGGCTAGGCATGGCCAGGACCGCTATGCTTGCAGAATGCCAGGGCGGCTGCTGGAGTACCGGTTCATCAATCCGTGTCGGACCTTCCTGACTCTTGCACACATTTGCCGGCCGTCATCCAGCAAGCACGTCCTAATGGCCAGCGCCTCTTCTGCCATCAACGTTGCAGGACACAGTGGTGGAGCGGCCGTTGGAAAGTGACAGTGAGGCCAGTTGTTCCAAGCAAGTCTGTGAATCTCCACGAGCTGTGGTTCTATTGATATCTAGTGATCCTCCCTGCAACCTCCCCAACTCCGTTCCGTTCCACTGTGTGAGCTTGTACATGTGCATTTGACAGCCAGGTACAGCCAGATAACATAAATTCCCTTCAGATGCAATCGTGGTCCATTCATGGCGTGCATACACTTAGCAGATTACAGTGACCTCGCCCCAAATGGTGACTTATGTGTAGAGAAGGGTCCTGAGATGGTTTCAGCCAGAACGTAGGGATCCAGACATCTCGGGCAGGACGAGCGCGGCTGTAAGTTGCCGGAGGCGCCGGGCAGCCTGATGTCAGCAACCAATGTAAACATCGGAATGCAGTATGCGCAGTTGTTATGGGAGAAGCACTTCCGAAAGTTGCGTTACTAAGCCATGACAACAGCGCTTTCAAAAAGAGCGAGCATTGTCATGGAAGTGTTGCACTTGCATGGAAGCCGCCGCAGGCAATTCCCCTTGCCTTTTCTGCCCTGATGGTGACGGCGTGCAAGCCTCTGCTGGGACAGTTGGTGAACGATCAAGCCAGCAGCATCGCATGCTGGTTTGCAAGTTAGAGGATTGAGATTGTCGAGTCCATTGCGCCTCTTTATGCCTCGGACTCAAATTGTTGAGCATAAGATGCCAGTTCGGCATCAAAGGTTCAGCAGTACGACAGTCATCCTTTGCCTCATTTGTTGATGAGAAAATTTGCCAAGCATTTGGCCCCTTAACACTTTGGAGTCCAGGTGGCTTTCAGTCCGCTGAAGGGGACTGGTGCAGGGCTGCAGCCTTACCAGAAATCCCCGGCGCACCGCCTGTGAATTTTGTCATCTCGCATGTTAGATGTTCATCTCACCGAAACTCTCAGGTGGAGCAAGACCTTCGTTTCAGGTTTGGTGCTGATTCCTGGCATGCATTCTTGTCTCATGTCTGCTTGGCTTGCCTACCTTGACTGACACAACCAAAACGTCTCCAAACCTCAGAGTTCACCTGCAGCTTGTAAAACAAGTGGAATCCTGTCTGCAAGTTGCGTTGTGGATTCTCGGGCCAGACTTGCCTCAGATTTGGTAGCAGGTGTAAAACTGCAAGTCTTAGATTCTGGGTATGGGGCATTTGCGAGATTTCTGGTTCTGTAGACTACGGGGTTGGTGGTTCACAGGTGTGTCAACCAGGAGAGCTGGTACGTTTGTCACAGCATCCCTTTGCAATCATTGGTATTTTGTATGATCCGGTTGGAGTCGTCCCTGATGGCCAGCGGACAGCTTGTGAAATCTCGTGGGCTTTCTGCCTCAGGGGTCTGAAATTTGTTTAGAAGGCGACTGGTGTGATGGAGCGGGGGAAACATTAATTGTCTTGTATTAATGAACTTCAAAGGCAAACATGTAGCCAGCCGAGGAAGTACCTTCTGTATGAGATGGTCTTGTTTCTGTCCGAAGGTGTGCTAGCCTGAGCCGTGTGCTGTGTCTGAGTGCATCTAATCTTTCCGGGAAAGAGCCGTTTGCTCAGCAAAGGTTCTTCGTTCCAGATGTTTCGACAGAGTCGGGAGTGTGATGCTTAGCGGTCTGGACTGTTCCAGTTGTGCAGTTCACGTTGAATCGTAGCCGACTGTGGGCGTGTTCCAAGATTTGTGATGCACTTTTCCGTTCGAGCACGGCAATCCTAATGTATACGTTTTGTTCTGTGAATTCATTCAGTGAGGTTGCCTGCAGTTCCTGAGCCTATGGGTGCATGCAAACCGCATGTTTCGAGCGACATGGCAGCATGATTGAGCTGACGGAGCTGAACGAACGCTGTTTATAGATCACAGCTGTTGCTTTGCGCAGGGTTGTTTTGAGTGCAGAGCCAAGCAGCCGTGCCCCTCCAAGGACATGTGGGTTTCAGGCCTGGCCCCTGATACAGTCCTTGCGTACTTGCAAGTGAGTTGCCTGGTAGGTTAATATGCCACTGAGGCTTCATCCTTGTGACGCTGTCTCCGCTGGTTTTGGTTGACACGATCAATTCCATGCTCTGCCAGGAGTTGCACCCTTAGTTGCCTGTTCGGAATTCTGTTGAGCTTCCTTCAATGACATCGTGGATGTTCCAGGTGCAGTCTGCACAACCTCCTGGTGTACCGCGATCCTGGACACCTGGCAAAGGAGGCCAGAGCTGCAGAGCTGGCTTCGTGCCGTCTCTGCGTTCTTTTCACTTCGCGGTCGCAGGACGTAAGTCTTCATTACGCAGCTGGCGAGGACGATGGCTCCTAGCTTTGTGTTGTTTCATGCTGTAACGGAGAAAGGTGCATTGGAATGCTCTGACTGTCTGACTGCGCAGGATGGCTCAGCTGACAGGACCAAGAGAGCCTTCGTCCGCGTTTGATTTTGCCTCAAACGGAGAGAAGCGGAGAGAACGGAGAGGAGGATGTCGAGCCGAGCTCCGAGTCGGACGTTGGGACTGGGCCCCCCGCAGCCTGCTTTCTGAACGCTTTTTAAGACTGTCGTGCTGAGTCGTGCCATCTAGGCATCTCTGCTTAGTGTGATAACGTGCAGAGCTCGGCAATTGTCATCAACTTGTGATCCACAACCTGCTTTGCTGATGCAGCCGGAAAGGTTGCTTGACCGCATTCAGAAATTTGCTTCTCGAGAGGACGAATATTTGGCGGTGCAAGCGCTCGAACGCCAACTGGCCCCCCTACGACCACTTACAGACACGTAGGATGAGGTCCGCCAGTCTGCTGCCCTGCCCACAGCTTCTATTGATTGTGCGCCCTGCTTGTCGTCGCATGGCCGCAATGACTGCCAAGGTCTTAGAGCAGCAACGCGAGAGATGCCTCAGCAATATGCTAATGCCAACCTGTGGGGGGATGTTTGGCGGCTGCTGACAGATTTGGTGGGCAAACCACCGAATATGTATGGCTCATTAGAGTAGAGACAGGCAGCTACTATGAGTAGGATACAGTGGCTAATATAGAGCAAGATTACATCCCGCTTTTGGCTTTGGTCTTATGGAAGAGATAATTTAATTATGTTGGCTCAACCAGCAGAAAAGCTACTCACCTGTGGAAGACAAGGTTCCACGCAGTTCGTGAAGCAGACAGCGCGCTCAAAGTTTGCATGCAGATCTGTGACGTCATGGTAACGCAAGGAGTGATCTTGACCGGTCCAAATTGTGCCTTTATGAACCTACATCCCTTCCAAATTCAAGCATGGACTCGCCCCACCAGGGGGTTTGAGGCTATCAGTTAATCATTATTTATTTGAATGACATGGAAATGCAGATGAGCGGGAAAAGGAACTTTGATGCTCCCTGCCCCAGTGCTTCCTGCGCTGGTGGCCCAATCTTGGATGGCGTGGCAACGAAGCAGCTGCAACTTCACCCAGTTTTCAAAATATCCAGGCATTCTGACTTCTCAGATTCACATGCAGCGTTGATGCATAACGTCAGATGTAGAGTCTCCATCCTGCCTGCCATACACTTGCATTGAAAAGTAGGAATTGAGAATTTGGCACACTTCTTGAAATCCTTGAGGCACACGCCCATTAACTTTCCTTGGTAGACAGGCAGCGCAGGTCTTGTGTAGACGTATGCTGCGGCCGTATGCAGTGCAGTTCCAAGATAGTGATTGAAATGGTTCAGAAATGTTCAGAACAAACGGGGCGTAGGTGGATTCTGGACCAGCAATTGGCTTTCTGTTTGTCTGGAAGTGAACCAGTCCAGCAGCACTGCAGACTGGAACGTTACCTTAGATGTCTAGGCCATGCATTAGGCGATGATGGAAGCGTTGCAAGCTTGCGCAGGTCTTGTGGCGTGTCGCTTCAAGATTTGGGTGCGACCCCCACTTGTCATAGCCTGTCCTGGCCCTTTTTAGCAGTTTCATAATCTTCTTGACAAAGCGACGGATTAAAGTTCCGTTTGTTTCAACATATCCAACGTCGGTCAGAAGTCATGGAAATCATGCCTTTAGTCTGTAAAACGAGATGGGTCCCCCAAAATACGCTTCTCAGCGTAGGTTTATTGAGCAACGAGATTCAAAGGTCCGACGCAAGTGTTGTAATCGAGATAGTAGTAGATTAGGTCAGTTGGTATCAAGTTTAGTAGGAACGAGATGGTCCCCCGCAACATGCTGCGGAGATCTTCGGAGTATGTAAAACGAGATGGAACGATATTGCAGCACGAGTATGGGACTTTCGACCAAAGGCCAGACAAGAAGTTTTGTCCGCTACTCATATTACGCTTACACTAGGGCCTGTTGGTTTAATGCCTGCTTGTCATCTTGGATTTGAAAGCATAACTGACTCCTATCCTTCGCAGCCGTGCCCCACGTAAGGGTGTGAGAGTGAATTCAAGCCCACACTTCCGCGTTTATGCCTCGGTTCACACCAGGTGCAGGGCTGGGTTAGCCGGCGGTGGCTTGGCCGCAGTGCGCCCGTGGGTGTACCTTCGCCCGCACAGGCATGGACTTTAAGGTTGTAGGCTCATTACAGTTGTCAAGGTTTTCATGTCTTGCTGTTAATGGCTGTAGCTGGATTGATACAGGTAGCAACATCTGCCCTTGTTCTTTTTTGCCCTTGAAGGCAGTGCAGATCGGCCGAACGCGGTTGGCCGGTGAAGTCCGTCGAGGACCAGCAGCTGAGGCTTGCAAGCGAACGTTCTGTTGACCTTCCGTTTCCCAGTCCTAGACCGTGCAAAGCTGTCGCAGGTTGCCTTGCAGAATGCTAAAGCACCAGAAGCTGCCTTGGCATTCTATGGCATGCTGAGTGCATTGTGTGTTTTTGCATGTCTTTGCATCTTGAGAGCTTCGAACCTCAGAGAGGCACATCCAAAACTCACCCAGGTTCTGGACGTGCGAGATGGCTCGGCCCTTGCGTAGTTTTGCATGTTTCGCTGCGTAGAGACGGCCGCGTGTCTGAAAAAGCAGAAGCTCTGACTCTTGCTGCTGGACTTGCGCAATCAGGCCCGCCAGCAGATGGGAAGGAGACATCCGACAATCTGAAGGCATAGTCTTGTCAAAGGGGAATATACTGGGAGGCTTTCAGAGCATAGCTGTGTAGGGGACAAACGCCGTCAACCTCAATCATGTTCAATTTCCAGAAATGATCACCTGCCAATTCCATTGGCTAGGTTGTGGCCTTGCCAGACTTCTTTTTAGCGCGCGAAGCTGTCCAGATCCTGGCTGCCTAGTGATGGAGCATTGCATGATTGATGGCCATGACGGCATATGTGCCACAGTGCAAGATTGGACGAAGATCCCGACCTTAGAGACAAGGTGCCCGACAGCATCAGTACTGAGCAGGAGGCAGCGGTGCTCTCTGCTTCTTACGCAGAGGCCGGATCTGTCTGCAGCACTGGCAGGAGCAACTGCAGCAGTCATCAGAGTTGAAATGCCAAACAGATATGGTCTTCAATCAACCTTCATCCCTGTACTGAGAGCCTGAGAGGTTTTCCAATATTGTAAGAAAAAGATTTGCCTTTTCCTGCAAACGGTATCGGCCATTTCAGAGCGCTTGACGTTGCATGAACTGCCAAACGTTATAGTCAAGTGGAAGGCGCAAAGCAAACCAGAGCAGATTGTTGGAACGTGGTTGATGTTTTGGTGGATGCTGGCTCAATCAGGCTTTGGGCTCCGCCGTGCTTGAGGCAGTGGCAGCGCGACGCTGGGGTGTGGCCAAGGCCTGGCATGTAGCCGGCACGCCTCGCATTGCCATGCTGCAGCACGACACATGTCGTGGCATTGCAGGCATGTCTTGCATGTTGCCGTGGACGGATTTCTTTCGAGACATGCTCGGCGGTTGCGCGTCACTTGAAGCCATGGCATCAGGTCTTGCTGCAGGAGCTGCAAAGAGCTCCAGAGGCCTACATGAGCAGATATCATCCTAACCTGTACTGTAGCGTCGGCTGATGGCGTATGGTACACTACTTCATCTTCCTGCGAAAGAGTGTGTCAAATTTGGTTGTGTGATTTTTGCCGAGCATGTCCTTCAGCAGCATCTTGTTCTCGTGTGTCGGTGTCACAGAATCCTATCACATGTCCAGGCAACTCGAAAGCGGCAAGCTCAGCCTGCATTTCATTTGCTGCTCTGATTTGTCAGCCTTGCAGTCCAGGATTTAGTTGGCCACAACATAAACAGCGCAAGATGCGAAAGCAGCCAAGCATGTGTCAACCATTGTCAACCCAGCAATCAGCAGCGCCGCAGTTGTGCGGGAATTCTCCTGCGCAGTAAGGCGCGCCCTCGCGAAGGCAAGGGAGAGCATTGAAACAAGCAAAGCTGAAAGGTAAACATGAGGTGACAGGCATACCAATGAGGAGCTTATAGTTTGGCAAACAGCACTAGTTTCGATTTGCTCTAAGCAGAGCTACAGTGCTCAGCGTGGATGTCATTATGTCAAAAGAACTATGGTGTAAGCAGTGCCGCTGAACTATTCAAGCAGAGCTGCTGTGTGTGATCACTCATTAGCAGAGCCAGGCAGACGTTACTTGCAAGACGGCGCTGAGAATGTGCGTCGTGCGGGGCGAAGCTGGTCCATTCCGCAGCAAAGGAATCAGAGAGTGCCACGGCAGCGGCTGAGGACGCACTCGCCAAAGAAAGGCCGCACTTGCTCCAGGCGGGCGGCTCACCAAGAACCAGCCGCAGAATTATGAAGTCGCTCGTTGATCTTCTTCAGCTGCAGCATAAGAGTCACATAGCTTTTCTTTGGCGGCCCTGCACCCGACAGTTCCAGTTAGAACCTGTAGAACACATCAAGCAGCCAGCTGGCATCTCCACATAGCCTCAGTACAACAGTCAGCGCTTGGCGGAAGCTCATCTCAAGCACCCTTGAAAGCTGAACTTTAAGCACCATGCAACGTGCAAGCAGCAAAGTCAACGGCTCTGCTTGCAATGTCAGAGTCATCAGATCAGAAGACTGAGCCTTGATCGCATGTTGCAAGCTCTGGCGGCCAACTGTGACAGCCAAGTCTACGGGAGGAGGCCAAAAATCGCAGATGTGAGCAAGCACAGTACAGGAGTCTCACCTTCCAGGTCTGTGATGGCCAATGGCGCGTGAGCCGTCGCAGCTCGAGTAGGCTGGCTGCTGCAGATTCTGAAGCGTGTTCAGATTCAGAAGCTTTCAAAGAGAGACCCAGAAGAAGAGGCTTCTGCAAGACATCCTGTAAAGGCCGCATTCTTTGTGCATGATGGAAGAAATTCTGCAGCCAAACGGCTCTTAAGCATTGTAGAAGTTGCACTTGCAAAGCGTCTCTGATGAATGGGCTTGCCGGCTTGTTCTCGGAAGCATGCAAAAGCTTATTGTCCAGGTTGGATACTGTGCAAGTAGGCTGTTACGGCATGTTACGGCAAGACTTTCAGCTGCTCGCTGTCGCAATAGGAAATACAATGGGGTCAGTGGGCCCTCACTACGAAGCGGTCCCCTTGCCGTTGGAGCCGGAAGAGTTCGGCCAGGACGTTGACCGCACACAAGCCATTCAACGCGCCGGGTTCGCTTTGATGGTCTCAGCTTTTGTGCTTGCAGGCGCTGCCGAGGAGATGGGATGGGTTTGAAGATGATTCAGATGGGCTTCATGAAGATCCTTGGCTACAGTCCAAGAGTCGAAAACACAGTCGCAGGAAAATCTACAGTCTGCGCCATTTGCGCACAGAAAAGTGCCGCACGAGAGGAGCTCTGTTTGCTTCATTATGCTTCATTGTTCATTGATGCCCGCAGGCATTGGCTCCAGTACATG